GGAAGACTGCTGTGTGTGACTAAACTGTACCTTACAATCTCTATCAGAGACATCTTGGACTGAAACAGCTGTGCCACTGGGAGAATTAACATCAACCGTTTTCTGTGACTTGCTTGAACTGGCTGAAGGAGACTGAAAACACTTGAAAGTCTCCAAAAAGAATACACAATTACCAAGAAAACCCTCAGCTTGTTTTAATCTGGCTTCTGTTTTGTTCTTTGTTAAAGAAATACAGGACTTCACTTCCTGTTTAGCCCTCACTGCACTTAGAGAGGCTTGCTTCAAAAACAGCCCTATAGCATCCCCTTGTGGGGGAGGACTGTCACTGTCCCTAAAAATCTGTTTTCTTCTTTTTGCATCTGCATTATCCTGCTTATCTTTAGGAACTGTATTTAACCATTTAGACAAAAACTTGTAAAGTACTGCCGCCAAAGAGTAAGGCTTGGCCTTTCCCCTGTCTTGTACATTTACAGACATTATTAAAAAATTTACACGTGACTGGCATTTCAAGTGAATTGGTCTCTGCCCAGAACCTCCTCGATTCGGTCGGGAACCTTCTACGCCAGCTAAGTTGGTGCACCCGATCGCTGGGGGTTCACCCAATCAACAGTTCTGTTTCAATTCCACTGAATACGCCGTCACCCTAAATTTCTATAACACAGTTTTCCCATAGACTATGCCCAGCCCCCAAAGACAGTTCTGCCAGAGGCACACTGTGTCACATCGAATTCTTTCCGTAGCACTGGTTGCTATGGGATACACATGTGCCAGTGTTCAACAGCCTTCGTGCAGCAAACCACGCCCACAGATAGTGAAAATAATAAATATTTTCCTGTGCCCTCATTAATCATTTAACATTTAGCAGTGATCGTCTTATAAATATTTAGACATTCAGGAATGTGCTCCGTTAGGACAAGGGCTCTGCCTTTGACTTCCGCCTTCAGCAAGCGAGCCTTCTCACTGGAGCAAAAATTCTAATAATTTTGGAGACAACCGTCAACATTTGTGGTTATCCACTTATTAATGTGAATTTTACGTCTCTGACGTCTCAATTTGTAACTAGGGCACTTATTTCTATCCCTCAAATGAGACTATGTGTTTGTAACTTTTACGTGTGGCACAGAACAAAAGCACCAGCACATTTCAAAATAAAAGTGTTATCTTACCCGTACTGTAATCACTCAATTTTGAATCGGGAATTCACAGTCCACACAGATCAACAAAGTTTTGTAAGGTCCAATATGCAGGAATTCTGTGTAAAAGGTTTCCTGCTCACCTGTTTTATTGCCGGCAAATGTTGATCCATGAGTCTGTTCACTCCCAGCTGGAATCCAACTCAAAATTCAGCCAATTCCGAAGGTCACGGCACGAAGTTGTTATACCCCAGTTCTTTTACTGGACAGATCTGAGTAAGGAAGGAGTCCGTCTTTCTTGATTTTTAGTGCTGGTTTATTTACAAATACATATACATATACATATATATATATATATCCCTCCTTCAGACAAGCTGCTGGAGAAGAGAGCAGGGACAAAAGCACCCGGAAACACAGAGCCTAATACATTTATCAGTTTTGGGCTAGCCCCTTGCACAGACAGCTGTAAAAACATCAGGAGCTGGAGACAGTCCGCCGTCTCCGTCTCTTATCTTATGCTTCGCATGCTTGGAGCAATTGGACATAACAAAATGAAGAATTCCATGTGTGTGTGTATGTTGTATGCGCGATGTGTAACTAAAACATTCTTTCAGACATAATTCTTACACAAGATTAATACAAAAATAGCTGGTGTCAAGGTACCCTTCTCAGACTCAATATTATCTTCTAACCTTGAAGCAGAGCACACAGGAACAGACTTTGAATCTTACTAACTACATTACAAACACATTGAAGTCTAACACATTAAAGTCTAATAATTATCTGTCTGATTTATTATTTTCTAACATATATTTCATTGACATCTAATGTTATTACTTCCTCTTTATTTCCCTTTGATTTTTGTTGGGGTAATTTAAACAAAGAAAAAAAGACTTCTCTTAGAATCAGTTCCACTTTCTTCTATAGACAGCCAGTGTAATAAACATTCAATCAAACTGTGTGTAAGTAAAAACCTTTCCCTTGGCTTCAGATCCTGTACAACCAGCAGAGTGTGGAGGTTCAAGGCAACCTGAAGAGGAAATTGATCACACAACTGCAGCCAGATACTGATTATTCCTTTGTGCTGATGAGCCGGGGGAACAGCGCTGGTGGTCTCCAGCAGCAAGTTTCCATCCGAACAGCTCCAGACCTGCTGAAGATGAAACCGACTCGACACCAACACGATGTGGAGGACGGTGGTAAAGTGACCATCAGTCTGCCCAGTGTCCCTGCTGGAGCCCTTGTCAGGTCTGTGCTGTTTTTTTGTCTGAGAAGAAACCACAGTGATATGGCTGGATCAAAACTGTCTTCTCTTCTCTGCACATATCAGTTCAGTTTTATAGTAGGAAACAAGAAATTAGGAATGGCTTTGAATGAAAGTAGTAATAGCTGTAATACTACTTTGACTATTGGGCTCTGATTTGTAACCACCATTGAAATCCTAGTATTGAAATGTAGGAGCCAGTGAATTTAAAGCATTAAGATCTTCAACTTTGGAAATCATCTATCTCTCTATTTTGTTTGATGCCCCCCTTTGAAATTTCCTGGCTGGTTATGTCCTGCTCTTGCCAGTATATAACCAGCCAATTATCTGCTGCAGCAGAGAATTCTACATTTTAAGAGCAAACAAAACATTCAGTCCCACACCCCAACAACACCATGATTACAACCTAAGAACCACATAGCCATATTACCAGCAACCCCACTCATGCTCCCCAGCTCTCTCCTGATACCAGAAAGCAATTCGAGAGTTGAGCTTTAAAAGCACAATTAATCAGCAAAGAAAATCCCAATGCAAAGGCTGCAATTTTGTGAAAGGTAATTCTTTTATTATTATCCAGCCTGGTCAAGAAGACAGGCACTGTGAATTACTAGGACTTAATTGTGTTTCAAGTGTTTGCTTTTTCTTAAGCAATCATCCACAAGTACGCTTTAGTAAGAGAAGCTGGACTGACATCTCCGTATGGATCAGACCTTTTCATCTATTGTAGAGCCAAACTTATTCAGTGGGTTTTAAGAACAAGCGAAGAGTAAATTTGAAAAATTGAAAACACATATAAAAAAATGTGTAGCTATCGTGATCAAAATTGCCAGGAAGTGTGCTCAGTTGCACAAGACAACAATTAATAATTGTTGACAGAAAGCAAGCAGGAGTCAGCAGCACTGTTGATGAAGTGCAGATTTTAATCAATTTTTTATGGAATTCTATTTATTGTTTAATAAAATTGCATAACAAACTAAGTGGTCCTGCAAATTGCAAGTATTTTTACTTGTTTGCTACAATTTTAAAAAAGGTCCTGCAAAAGCACTTGATCCAAACATTAGCAATAGATTTCAGAAGTTAAACAGTAATGACATAGTACGAAACTGCATTTTGTGCACGTGTATGCCTGGCATAATTGTGTATGATGCAATTGTATTGTTGTGTTCAATACAGGTGGTACTACATAGTGGTTGTCCCTGTCACTCCAGCTTCTCCGAGGATCTGGGAGAACCCTGAAGACATGGACATACATGAGGTGAATGAACCTGTACTTCAGTTGGTCATGCATACAGAACAAAGTCGGTTCATACTCCCTGATCACTTGAATCCATAAAAATTGCTCCCAAAAACTAAACTATTACATTTTCAGATTCCGGCTTAGTTTTTGGTTTTGGTTGAGGTTAGATATCAAGTGGATATGGTTAAACATACCTTTTCCTTTTAAACAGAGTTATGTTTTAAATCACTGTTTCTTTCCCAAAACACTGGTGCCTCATACAACAACCATTTGTACAATTAGTACACGTTTAGAATTTTTTCTTTTCGCTTTCTCACAGTTTGAAATTTTCTTCTTACTTTTAGATAACATTGAGACATTTAGATCCAGATTGTGCTGTTGAGACAGTTTTCCTTCTTGGTCCACTGTATGTATATTTCTTGCATAATGTAACTGTTGAATGCATTTTATTTTCCATTTGCAAAATATCTTTTTTAGGATAAAACTTGCTTTTTCTTTCTATCCATGTTTGCTTGCTAGCAGTTCTTTACTACTTGTTCATGAGATCGCTACCTTTCCTGATACATTAAAGCCACCAGCTGTCAGTCAGTAAATGTCAGTGAAGCCAAGAGACACATTCACTTTGAGTAACATTTGCATTACTGACACTGACACCAGAGTCGCTCCCAGTGGACAGGGCAAGTACTTTGTCCAGTAAAGTAGAAAAGTACTATATACATACATGTACTAAGTGCAGATTTGGACTATGCTTGGTTACGTTTCCAGTGAAAGTAACTTGTGTAGTAAATATGTATGATAAATCCTGTTAGTGTAATGATGATTCTTGTGGTTTTTGCTTTAATGTTATCTGAAGCAAGCCTCTGCCACAAATCAGTCTCTAAAACACTTTAATTGCATTAGTATTTTATTGGTGTTACAGATTTAGATGTAATATAATTATGTGCTAATAATTTTCCTAGTGTCCATTTATTTTGTAATTTTATTTATTAATTGAAATTTCAAACTTGTGGTTGATCATTGATGAGACAAAACTTTTATGAGACTGATAATTCTGTGAGCATCTACAGTCTCCAATAACTAACTGGCTCCGTGCTGAACTAAAGGTCTAAAGCCCCTGTAGCAGCCCTGAGGCTGCTATATTTATTTTATAACAGTATGAAGCATTTGAATCAGAATGAGCTTTATTGGCCAGGTTTTCTGGACACATGAGAAATTTGAATGCTCTTCTATAAGGCAGTGAGTTGATAAGTAAACAAGACTGAGAGAACAAAAAGAAATAGGAGTGTAGGACAACAAAAATAAAGTACTTATAAATATAGAAATATATAGACACAGTTTAGGTGTATTTTTCACATATACATATATATATA